GGGAAATTGGGGGAAATTGGGTGGAAAGTTGCGTGAAATTTGGGGGAAACTGGGGGGGAATTTGGGTGAAATGGGGGGAAATTGCGTGAAATTTGGGGGAAATTTGGGTGAAATTGGGGGAATTTGTGGGGAAATCTGAGGAAAATTGCATGAAATTTGTTGGAAATTTGGGGGAAATTGGGGGAAATTGGGGAAAATTCCGTGAAATTGGGGGGGAAATTGCGTGAAATTTGGGAGAAATTGGGGGGAAAATTTGGGTGAAATTGGAGGAAAAATTGCATAAAATTTGGGTGACATTTGGGGAAAACTGCATGAAATTTGGGGGAAATTTGGGGAAAACTGCATGAAATTTGGGGGAAATTTGGGGAAAAGTGCAGGAAATTTGGGGGAAATTTGGGGTGAAATTGTGGGAATTTGTGGGGGAAATCGAGGGGGATTTGGGAAAATTTTTCCGAAATTGGGGAAAAATGGGGGGAAAAAATGTGAAATTCAATTTGGGGCGAATTTGGGGACGCTCAGGTAAAATTCGGGTTGGGATTTTTTGGGGTGACCCCGCAGTGAACTGGGGTGAATTTGGGGACACTCAGGTAAAATTCGGGGTGGGATTTTTTGGGGTGACCCCACAGTGAACCTGCCCGAATTTGGGGACACTCGTGAAAAATTCGGGGTGGGATTTTTTGGGGTGACCCCGCAGTGAACCTGCCCGAATTTTGGGGTGAATTTGGGGGACACTCGTGTAAAATTCGGGGTGGGATTTTTTGGGGTGACCCCGCAGTGAACTGGGGTGAATTTAGGGACACTCAGGTAAAATTTGGGGTGGGATTTTTTGGGGTGACCCCACAGTGAACCTGCCCGAATTTGGGGGACACTCAGGTAAAATTTGGGGTGGGATTTTTTGGGGTGACCCCGCAATGAACCTGCCCGAATTTTGGGGACACTCAGGTAAAATTCGGGGTGCGATTTTTTGGGGTGACCCCGCAGTGAACCTGCCCGAATTTTGGGGACACTCGGGTAAAATTCGGGGTGGGATTTTTTGGGGTGACCCCGCAGTGAACCTGCCCGAATTTTGGGGACACTCAGGTAAAATTTGGGGTGGGATTTTTTGGGGTGACCCCGCAGTGAACCTGCCCGAATTT